TATGCTTGCCATGTGCTTGCCATATGCTTGCCATGTGCTCGCCATATGCTTGCCAAGTGCTTGCCATATGCTTGCCATGTGCTTGCCATATGCTGTGCCATATGCTTGCCATGTGCTTGCCATATGCTTGCCATGTGCTTGCCATATGCTTGCCATATGCTTGCCATATGCTTGCCATGTGCTTGCCATATGCTGTGCCATATGCTTGCCATATGCTTGCCATGTGCTTGCCATGTGCTTGCCATATGCTTGCCATGTGCTTGCCATATGCTGTGCCATATGCTTGCCATGTGCTTGCCATATGCTTGCCATGTGCTTGCCATATGCTTGCCATATGCTTGCCATGTGCTTGCCATATGCTGTGCCATATGCTTGCCATATGCTTGCCATATGCTTGCCATATGCTTGCCATATGCTTGCCATATGCTTGCCATATGCTTGCCATGTGCTTGCCATATGCTGTGCCATATGCTTGCCATATGCTTGCCATATGCTGTGCCATATGCTTGCCATATGCTTGCCATGTGCTGTGCCATGCGTGCCACGGGCACTCTTGGCATGCGATATCATGCGATGCAAGCCAGCCGGTCCCAGGAATGCAGACAAGGTCGAACACTTGCCCCCGCCTTCAGAATGCGAAAACCCGAAGTACATCGAACCTTGGCATGCGAATTGGGCGCATTCGAAAAGTTCGAATCGAATTCGCAAATTCGCGAACTGAGGTGACGGGCACCAGAGACCGCTTCGGCTTCCTGAAGCCGGGGCGGCTGGACACCTTGCAGTTCCCGGCGGAAGAGTGCCGTTGGTCGCAGTAGAAATGCGTCAAGTCGAGACCCGCTCGCATTTCTTTCGGAGGCTTTGCAGCTGTCAAGAGGTTCATAGACATAGATTCTCCTAGATTCATAGATTCATAACTGTCAAAACTGGTGGCCACTTATGAGGTGGTCCCTTCCCGTCACAAATGTGGCCTTCTGGGGCTTGGAAGAAATTCTCCCGCGCCCAGGTGGCACAAATGCTGCCGCTCAGCCAAAGCTCCACATGCGGCTCATGCGGTTGGGTCTCTTGAGATTAAGTGTCAATGTATGAGGATCTTGCGGGGAGATTGGGATCCCCTTCGCCCGTGGATGGAATGTTGCTAGGTACCCCAACGGCCCTCGGTCACAAGTTAGGTGTATTGGCTGCACTTCGCACGATGCACCTTTGCATGGGGGCGAATGAGGCTTGATCAACGACGGCAAGAAGATGCAGTGCACCTTGGTTGCCAGTGACATGAGCTGATGAGAACGCCGGATTCCTCGCGATTGATGGCTGACGTGGGAAACTTTGAAGGCTATCAGCAAAATGTTTGCTCCAGGTGAAGATGTGACAGCCATGCCATTCTCTGAGCTGATCAATCAGCATCACGGAATGCAGCTCGGCCTGCAACCCTCGCAAGCACCAGGGTTGGAGTTTGTTTACTGGCCTTTTCTGCCAGTGCAGCCGGGTTTGACTTTGAACATTTCGTGTTCGAGCAACACCTTTGCGCTCCCGGCGCAGCCATTGTGCAGGTTCGCATGACGGGGCCCGCATTAAGGGGGAAGGACGGAAGGAAGCTAAGCACGGTCCCAAGCCCTCACTAAGCTGAGCCCTGCGGAAGGCAGACACTTGACCTGGACAGGCTGAGTTTGGCTGCGTTGAGCTGGTGAGGTGTGGCTCGCACGCCTGCATGGGTGCGGATGAACGATGCCTGCACGTAGATCATCAAGAGGTGGGAGCAGTCTGAGGCAAATGAGTGACACATGTGAGTCTCATGCGGTCTGCGGTCTCAGACATGCCATGAGACGCCTCCGTCAAATGATGGCGGCTTAGGAGGAGCTGACAAACCCGAAGAAGGGGCAATGCCCTGGCGCGACTTGGTTGCTTCACCTTTTCTCACAGTCGCTGGCATTTCATTTTTGGTTCATTGGCCGTGCCAATGCCGGAGTAGCTTGGAAACAACTCTGCAAGCAATTCCGACTTTCATCTTCAGATAGAGGCTGAAGACTTTGCGAGTTTGCATTGGGATCCTGAATCTTTCGATTACTTGCAGTTGTGAGTTTGCAACTGGTGCGATACATGCCTGTAATGCATGGCTGCCTCACTCCTCGACCAAGTCCTGCAGTGGAGACTGCATGCGCTCCTCGGAGCGTCTGGAATGTGTCCGCCTAGGCGCAGCATCTCATCACGTGCGTCGCGCGCGTCGTGCATTGCGAATCCATCGCACGCGAGGCATGACCGTCCAGGAGGGCGGCACAGAAGGCCACGATGCGCAATATGCGGCCCGGAATCAAAAACGGGAGGAACAACGACGCCAAAACGCACGTGAAAACACGTTGCTTGAGGCAGGCCTGAGGTCTGAAGTTTGGAATTTCTCAGGTGCGTGGAGCCTTCAACCAGCCAGAGAAATATGCACCATGCTTGCAGTTCATGTCAGAGGCATGGCCAGCAGATTTCTTGGATGTGAGGAAGTCTTTTCTTTGTCGATGCCGCTGTGGCTGGAACAGTGGAGAAGGCGCCGTGGCGGGTACGCGGGCACGCGGGCGATGCCACACCGTCGCTCAGGAGACGGATGCACTGGGAGCAGTTCTTGTGAGAAAAAGAGTCGTCGAGTCGTCGAGTTGTCGAGCCGCAGTCGCACAGCAGCTGGGAGGTTTGCACGGATTGGCCGGTTTGCCGCAGCCCAGATGCTCAACCATGGCGGGCCAGTGGGATTCATGGGGCGATTGGGGCAAAGGTGACATGTATGGCAAGGGCTACGGCAACTTGCATGAATTGGAGTGGCCCGGGGGGTGCGGACTTCGAATACTTCGATACGCTGCAGATTGCCAAGGCATGGACTGGGGCAAAGGCTACAGTGGCTACGGCAGCTACGGCAGCTACAGCGGCGGCAGACCGTGCTGCAAGTTTGCTGAGTTTGCCTTTGAGACCAACTGTCATGGATTTCCAAATCCATCCGAGGCTACGACGGAGGCAAGGGAGGCAAAGGCGACAAAGACATCAAGGGCTTAGTGAGGTTTGCACCCCAGGTTTGTGCTGGCGGGAGCCGACAAACATGAAAGCGTTTCAGGTCAATCATCCAGGCACAAGCAGTGCCAGACCGGGCAAGCGACGAGAGCACGATTTTTGTGGCCGGCCTGCCGTCGGACATGACCAACCTGGAGATGTGGCCCAACTTTCAGAAGACGAAATCTGGGAACGGGGCTCTTTTTCTTTTTGGCCCTTCGGCCCTTCGGCCCAACGGCCGGCTTCGGCCCAACGGCCGGCAACGGCCCAACGGCCGGGGAAGGGTTCCGAGATGTTCCGAGGTACCAGCTCTTCTCGGCCTTCGGCGCCATTGCGCCCCGGGGTGCCACAGCCCTCCAGGACAAGGAGACGGGGAAGTGCACAGGCGCACCGCCGGGCCGAACGGCCGAACGGCCGCACTGAACGGCTGAACGGCCGGGCCGGGCCGTCGCCGCCGCGCGTCCGGGTGATTTTGTTTGTTTCAAGACAGCGGAGGCATTGGCTTTGTGAACTTTCTGGATGTCGAAGCTGCTCAGAAGGCGCTGAATGATGTGAGCGCAATGCCTCTCGTGCCTTCGCTGAGGCCATCCGGGCGCTGAACGACTTCCCATTTGCGGACTGATGTGCACATCTCATCTTATCCTGTGATTCCTGTGCGCCACGTTTGGAGCATTTTGTGGCTCTTATCGTATGTGGGTCTTGCGCAGTCTGATCTGAGCCGCTTCGATCTGAGCCACACAGCCCCAGCGAGCGAGCGAGGACGGCAGTTGGCTCACCGTTAAGAAGAAGGGCCCGTGGCCGCGCTGCATTTAGTCCATGCATCCAGGAAAGCGCAAGCACGCCAGATCACGCAAGCACAGGCCAAAAGCGAAAGATGGCAAAGGAGAAAGCAAGGGCAAGGGCGAGAAAGGTGACAAAGGCAAAGGGAAGAAGAATGACAAAGGCAGGATGCAGCAGACATTGGAGCCATTCCCTTGTCAATGGTGTAGAGCTGACAGGGAAATGAATTCGTTGGGACCTCAATCCTTCGCAAGGCTTCCGGGGGGAAGGGGCGTTGCGCGCTCACCCAGGCTCAACATGCTTTTTTATCAGACGGGATGCTGGATGGAGCTGAGAGCCATGTCGTTCCACCGACATGGGACGCATGGGAGCCATAAGGAAGCTTCATACGTGAGTCATATGTTTATCAATTCAAGTGCCACGTTTGACTCTCGGCTTCGGTTTCAATCCGGGACCCCGGGATGCGGCCGGTGCTGGCCCGCCCGGCTTCCCTAAAGAAAGTAAGGTAGGCCAAACGTAGGCAAACAGAAAGACAAAACGAGCATGAAATGCAGGAAGTGACTGGCGTTTACGGGGCCTGCGTCAGAGAGGCCGCACTTTTCAATGAGCACAGATCAGACGCAGGCTCCGTTTGGCTTTCTTGGAGCCAGGCACTTTCTTGCTGCCCTAGTAGCGCACTCTTGTTTGCATCCTTGTTAGGCATCTCTTCTGTGGCCTTCGAGGGTTGTTGAGCGTGTCAGAAAACTCACTGGCCAAAGCCCGTGCCAGAAGGCAAAGGCAAAATGTGCCTGACCGCGAGTATGAAGAGCGAAAGAGGGCGTTTCGATTCGGGTGCGCGGCACAAGCTCAAGCTGTTCGTGAGAAAATGACGAGACGTCTTCCTATGACTTGAAGAAGAGAGCTTTTCGCATGTCGTCTGACTGCTCGGTTTTAGGAGCCAAAGACGGGTGCGCGCCTCAATGCGCCTCAAGGGTGTTTGCACTGAGGGAGGGCCGAATGCGGACGCTCGGGTGGGTAGGCGAGCCGCGACGGCCGAGAGTCCCGCGCTCGGATGGATCCCATCGGACGGCATTCTCGGTCACCACGGCCACGGCATTCACCTTTGAGGAGACGGCGCACCCGTTCTGCCCGGAGGCTCGGAGCGGCCAATTAAAGGGCGCGACTGCACGTCACGGAACGAAGTCTCGCAGGTCACGGAAACGCCGCCGCCCAAGCGAACACCGCCTCTGGGCATCGAGTGAATTGGGTCTAACGCTCGGGCCGCTCGGGTTCGTCCTGTGTTTTTGTTTGAGGCTCTGCCTCCAGGCACGTGTCGCACGTGTCGCACGTGTCGCACGTGTCGCACGTGTCGCACGCGCCACGCGTCGAGCACAGCACAGTCCAAGTTGTGCCCTGTAGGCGGCCCGAGCGCCCGAAGCCCAGTGACTCATGCGCCTGGCTCGGGTGCAGAGCTGCTCTCCTTTTCTCTTATGCCTCAGCGGGCTCGGAGCACACAAGACCCATGCACGTGGGAAGGGTACGGAATTTCGGACCCTGAGCATTTTGACAATGCAAATCAAGGACAGCCATCGCAATGAGCAAAGGCACAGACATAGAATAGACATGTCACATAGAGTCTCATAGAGAGCCAACAGTTTGGTCGCCTAAGTCGCCAATGCCATGAATTGCTGCTGCCCAGCCACTGACGCAGATGAGCTAGCCATGGACCACTGGAAGCGCCTCGGCTTTCGGCTTTCGGCTCTGGAACGTGGCTTCCCCATCTGCACCGAGGCACATAGGCGCTGCCATTCGGATTTGCATCCACAAGGCGAGGCTCGCGACTTCAGGCAGAGGCAACTGAGATGCAAATGCGCGAATGCGAACTTAGGGGGAGAAGTTGGCCACCAGCAGCAGCCCGTATTGCGCCCCTTGGCGAATTTCGACGGCAGTCGGAGTCGGAGTCGGACCCGGAAGTGAGGTGGTGCGCCTGGGGGATGAGATCCAGAAAACGGCCGTGGCAACATCCAAAGGCCCAGATCCAGCGCCTTTGCCAAGCTTCGCCAAACTTGGCCTACCTTTTGTTACGTGAACTCGCTCCAATCAAGAATGGCGATTCCCAGGTGTGGGATCCTGAAGTCGTGGAGCTGCCGTGGGTGTGAAGCTCAGCAAACCGCCACTTCAGCGCACTTCAGTGACTTCAGCTTCAGCTCGATGGCAAGGACGCGCAGGACACCTTGGAAATCACCCTTCGGGAGCAGGACTCGGGGGTCTTCCGTGAAGCAGCTCGGCCGATTCCGCCTGCGCGCTTTGCACTGGCAAAACTGATCAAAACAGACCGTTTGCACGCGAAGTGTGCCCAGCGTTGCCAAGGACCGGAAAGTTGGCGTCGCGCATGTGAACGTATCAGCTTTGGCGCGGAAGGCACGCTTCAAGCCCTGGTTTCACATTTCAAACACATCTCAAGGCTTGTGGCTTTCCACATTGCCAACTTACGTGTTTGGGGTTCGAGTCTCGAGTCTTGTGTTGCTTTGCTCGGATTGCAGGTGCGCTATGCAGGGCCGCTGAAGGTGTACCGGAATGGTGCAGAGGAGGCAAAGTTTGGAACGGGGAGCGAGTGGCAGGCTGCACGAAGGGCTCGATTGAATGCAGTTGACGCACGCTTGATGTTTCGCGATCTGGGAAAAGACAGCATGTGGAAATAAGCAGCGGGACGGCGCTGGGATGATGGTGAAGTCACGAATGGTTTTGCCGCTTCTCTTGCGGGGTTCCCTCACTTTTTCTTATAATTGTCTCTCGCTGTAATTTTTTTGCTGGCCCTTCCTCACAACCGTTCTAGTCCTCTTTCCCCTTTGAATAAAACAGAAAATTCCCGCTCAGACGGGGGCCCTGATGGTGGACATTGCTAGCAAGGAGCCTTGCAGTGAGCCTTGCAGTGAGTCGTGCGATTTGCATCGTGCAATGTACAGGCATACTTCACTCATTGCACCGCCTCGCACTCGCGGTACAGGAACTGTCCGCCCTTAACCCGACGATGCTGCTGCAGCCAGTCTTGGTGAGGCTTGGCAAAAGCATGGAGCTCCTTTGCGAGGGTGGAGCACTGGGAAGAAAGGTGCCCCTTCTTGGACTTAAGCAACGGAATGGACAAGCCTGGTGTGGCGAGGGAAAGCATTGCAAGGCGAAATGTAAAAGATGAAGATCTTGAAGAATGATGAGATGCTAAGGAAGGTGCACAGCAATGGTCTTATGGGCGCTGTTGCTGCTTTAGCCGCAGCTCCGTCTGCACTCTAGTGCGCGCCATCCCTGATTTGATGCCTGTCGTTGGCAGGACTATGAGGCCCTGGATCTCTTTAAGACGTATCGAATCGTCCTGCAACAGTCAGCGCCCAAGTCTGTCACGGCGCGGGCATGCGCAGAATTTGGACGCCAGGACTGGCGCACGCTTCGGGGACAGGGTGAACGCCAACCACGATGAGTCTCACACTCAGATGACTAAAGATGACTAAAGATCATCAAAGATCATCAAAGATCACGAAAGAAAGAGATCTGCAGGGAGCACAAGAAGCTCTTCAGAGATCCACTTCGCAAGGCGGGTTTCAGGATCCCGCGCCCCATGGCAGGCCGTTCTCGTGCTTTTCTCGAGGTGGTGCAAGCCGAGCACGCGTCGCTGTATAGAGGGCTGCTCAGTTCGTCTCAGTTTGGTTCAACTGAACTGACATGAAGTTGGAACACGTTGAACCTGAGTCTCTGAGGTGACTGGGCATATCCTCATCTCACCTTCTGGGGCGGCAAGCGGTACGAGAAGGTCACTCTCAGCACAGGCCGAGCTGACGTCCAATGCCCTCGGTCGGCTCTTGCGGCCCTTGCGCTATCTTGCGCTATCTTGCGCTATCTTGCGCTATCTTGCGCTTGTGCTCAGGGAACGACTTTCTTTCCCTGGTAGGGAATGGCGTTCGGAAGGGCAGAAGGCATGTGATTCTTGCAAGGAAATCTTTGCACGGTGGCCTGTCGACTCATGTGCGTGCAAGGCGTGTTTTTACTTACGTCCTCCTCGATGAGGGCATGTTCTTCTCAGACTCACGGCAGAATGGCACAAGCAAAAGCCAGAGGATCCCACATCCTGCCCTCCAGGAAACAGGCGCCAACATTGCAAAGGATTTCTTCAGCTACTTGGCGAGAATGTGAGGCAGTGTCCTGCCACATCTGCATGAAGCGATTAGAGGCAAGCATGCCGTGCACGCGAACGCGTCCCCGGGTGTCGCTCGGATGCATTGGAATGGACGGACAGGGGGCGTGAGGGCGTGACGGAGCGAAAACGGCGCGTGCGTTGGCAGGTTCGGATGGCTGGGACTTTCAGGGTGTGCGAAACGCCTCAGCGGCAGCCGGTGGTTGTCATAGACAACGATTCTGGCACGTACCGTCCGCCAGCCGCTCAGAGTTTCATGGCGTTTTCTTGGCTCCGAATTCGACAGTGGCAGCAGTGGCCCTGATGCCCATTTCCGGGTTCGAGAGCGACAGATAGCTGAAGAGCCACACAGCAGCCGAATTTGAATCCAGACGCTGTTTCCAAATGTAAACTTCCCTCCAGTCACGGGAAGTCGTTTCTTGGCCCGAATGTTGTCAAATGGGCTGCGAGCCGTGCGCATCAATGAGTCGAGCACAGGTGCGTCGGGCATGCTTGAGTGCAAGCCAAATACGTGGCAAGTCACATGCGCAGAATCTTGCTTTTTTGTCTCAAGTGAGGGTTTTCGATCATGTATCTACGAGCACAGCCGTTACAGACTTTTCTAAGCTATCCACGTCCTTGGACGTTTGTTTCAGAGCTGGCAAGTCTTGTCACAACCTGCAGCATCTGCAGCATTGCAGCCTGAAGCAGCTCAAAGCGGCAAACAGACATATCATTCAGATTTGATGCATGGAGCAAGTCCTTGCCATGCCTTCTCAAGATGGACGCTGAGGACATTTGTGGAGATGGCCGCCTACTGAAAAAGATCGAAGTCCAAGGGTCAGGGGAGTGCCCCAAGAAGGGTGACAGGGTGGAGGTGCACTACGAGACTCGTTTGGGCGACGTAAGACTCGATGCCTCGGACTCGACGGCCTTCAGTTTCGTGCTGGGGGACGGGGAGGTTTTGGACGCCTGGGACATCGGCGTCGCTGGCATGCGGCCAGGCGAGCGCAGCAACTTTGTGGTCCACCACAGCTTGGCCTACGGGGAGGAAGGCGCTGGTGACATTCCGCCCTGCGCGACCTTGGAGTTTACCATCGAGCTCTACCCAAAAAGGGACAAGAAAGACGAGAGACAAGTGAGAGAAGAGAGAGAAGTGTGTGCGAGCAAGGCGAGAACGGGGAAAGAGGAAAAGGAGAAAGACAGATTTGCCTCGCGTGGCTCGCGGTTCCTGCGAGCCAGCGAGGCCAAAGAGCGAGGCAATCAGCTTGTAAAGGTCGGGGACTTCCAAGCGGCATGCAAGGCGTATCAGGAAGCCCTGGTAATGCTGGAGAAGTCGGAGACGGAGAAGGAGACATCGGAGGAGCTTCTTGGGCTGCGAGTGGCGTGCTTCTTGAACTTGTCGCAGTGCGGGCTGCAGCTGGGCGACTTCCACGGCGCGGTGCGCCACGCCAGCGCCGCGCTGGACCTGGGCCTCGGCGCGGCCAAGGCCGCCAAGGCGCGGTACCGCCGCGGCTCCGCGCAGCTGGCGCTGGGGAACTTGGCCGAGGCCCGGGCGGACCTCGCGGCCGCGCTGAAGGCGGAGCCGCAGAACCCGCAGCTCCGGCGCCAGCTGAGCAGCTGCCAGCAGAAGCTGCGGGAGGTCGCGCAGTGGCACCGAGACGCCTTCAGCGGCATCTTCGCTCAGCCTTCAGAGGCATCTCTTCCTCTTCCTCTCCCCGCGCCTTCCCACGACCTGTCGCTGCGGGTGTATTTGGACTTTCGGCTCGCCGCCCGCGTCCGCATCGAGGTGGCGCTCTACGTGGACACGGCGCCAAAGACGGCGGAGAACTTCCGGCGCCTGTGCACCGGGGAACGCGGAAGCTACCGAGGCACAAAGCTTGATCGGGTGATCGCCCGTCACCTGCTGGAAGTGGGCGACGCGCAGCATGGCAATGGCCTTGAGTTGATGGGGCCGGATGAAGGCTTAGACCCGCACCACAAGCGAGGCCTTCTCACGGCCAGCAGAAGCCCAACCACGCGGTTCATCATCACCCTGCGTTCCCTGCCGGAGCTGGATGCCAAGAACGTCGTTTTTGGGGAAGTCGTGGCTGGCATGGAGGTCTTGGACTCCTTGGAGGCAGTGGAGACGCAATACCCAGACGCCCCCATCAAGCCAATCACCGTCGTGGCTTGCGGTGCGTGTGAGTGAGACGAAAAGACGCGAAGTGCGTTTGAAATGTATGAGATGTTTGAGATGTTGGACATGTTTAGAGGTGCTTTGGTGTGCGGAGTGTGAATTTGCAGTTTAGATCATCTTGGCCAGGTGATTTGCATCTCACATGCTGAAGGGGGCTGTAGAGATTCATGCTTGCATGTGCTGACAGTAGGTGCCTGGGAACTGCGGCCCAAAAAGTAGTTGGAAGAACACTCAGCATCCAAGCAGCTCCCAAGAACTTGGGCAAGCAGGCCTTGCAAAGTGAGGCCTCGTGATGTCCAGTGCACAATTCATGTTTGGCTGGCCAAGCAAAGTCTTCATGGCCCGAGACAGAAACGGTGCACGAGATGCGAACGCGGTCGCTCGCTCGTTCGCCGTGTGAGGCGATCGGAGGACCTGGTGATTTTGAAAGAACTTCTTGAGTTCAACTTTCCCGGCATCGTCGCTACTCGGTTGCCAGCTTTGCGACTGCGTGATGCGGCTGACGTGTCACGTACTTGACTGCCGGGAGACTGAACATCGCACTTTGTATATCTGATTTTACTTGCCTATAGATACATTTATAATCATTTATATACATGTGCTATAGGCTTGCGCAAGTGTGCCCGGGGGCCAGGTGAATGCGATGTCCCCCGCCCGAGCTGGCCCGTTTTGGGCCTGTGAGCTGAGGTTTGCGTGATGCCCTGCACGGAGCCGCAGCTGGAGGCATCAAGAGAGGCTTTGCCCGGGCATGCGGCATATCGGACAGGACGCCAAGGCCTTCTACGGGCCAAACGAGTCCAAGGGAGAGACTCTTGGCACAGAGACGGGAATTCATTGTTCCTCGCGTTCCTCGCGTTCGGTCTCAGGAAAGGCTGCGTGTACAGCGGCCAGTGGAAGCTTCTCGGCCGCAAATTGAGCTGGCGCACGTTCGCTTTCCATTGTCCGAGGTGGCAGGTGGAGTCGGAAGAGGAGCTCCAAGCAGCATCCATCGAGGCCCGGAGACGGGAAATGAATTGAAATGCCCGGAAGCTGACCGGAAATTGGAAACAGACATCGAACGTGTATAGCGTGATGCTCACCCACCAGGGCCTACCGCTTATTTTGGTTTGCCGGAATACTCAGGAGCCTAGTCAAAAGTATGTTGCTCTTTGATCTGCCAGAGTTGGGTTATGCTCAAAGCTTACTTCCTTGTTTTGATCAGTTAGCTACTTGAGCAGTTCCTGGTTGGCTGGCCAAGACTAGCTACATGTACGGCGGAGGGGACTTTTCTGCGTGGGTCAAACGCAAACCCACAAGGGCGCAAAAAGCACCAAATCCCTGAGCTGACACTCTCGCAAGAGGTATGTTTGTGCCTGGCGCATGTTGAAAACATGGGGAACAACGGTGTTGCTCGAGGTAAACGGTTCAAAGATGCTCGCACTGAACAAGCGTTGCTTGCTTTGAAAGATGGAACGGAACTCTGCGCCTTGAGGCGCCCCACAGCGTCTGGGAGTGGAAGAACCGCAGCGGCTGGCAACGCTACGCTCCTGAGGACATCGACCGGCCATTTCTGTTCCGATCATGTTTGTTCCGACACGTGGGGGAGATTTGGGACAGATATTTCAGGAAAAGGACAAGCTGCTAGCCGTGCCATTCCGATATATATATATACATTAAATATATATATATATTTTCAACTCTACAACTCTACAACTCTACCACTCCGAGCTCCGAGAAAGAGCTCCGGGCCCCCCGAGCTCCGAACGAGATGAGTCCGTGCTCGCCTCTCCCTTTCCGACTTTCCCGCGCCTCGATTTTCAACTTCGAAAAGACCCGAATTCCACAAAGCTCAGCTCTGAGAGAAACCCGACTTTCAGCGAACTTCGATCGAAGTCTTCGTGTTTTTTCCTCGGAGTGTATCAAATGATTTCATTTCTCCTCCCGAATTTCTTCCGAATTTTTCTCCTCCCGTCTTCTCCGAACTTCTTCTCTCCCGAATTTCTCCGTAGCGAGGGTTTCGGCTTGAGGACGAGGCGCTGCTCTGCCGGCTGCAGGCGGAGTCCCGGGGCCAGGCCGTCGAGACCTCCAAGCCCCGGGCCCGGAGAAAGCGGAGAGAGCCGAGAGCGGAAGACGTCCGAGTTGTTCCGGAATTAGTTCCGATGTCCGAGTCATGTTTTTGTTTCTGGCGTTTCCGAGTTTGTTTCTGACATACGTTTTGTTTCCGTTTCATGACTCTTTTCATACAGTTTGAGAGAGAGGAAGGAGCATCAAAGCTCGCGCCCGTTTCAGGTTCTCATTTGGCCATGAGCTCAAGTGAGATGCACAGACACATGCAGAGGGTGGGTGCTAGGGGTGGCCAAGCAGAATGGCTTGGGTGCCGCAGCATCTCTTTCAGGACATGGCAATTACCTGCTGGACTTCACGGAGGGCTTTCAGATCTTTGGCTGCGTCTCTGCGTCTCTGCGTCTCTGCGCGTTTTATCAGCCTTTTGCCAGCTAAGGACGAATCAGCGAACAGGCTGGGCGCGGCTGCGCGGCTGCGCGATGCACGCTGGGCGGAGCCCGGCGAGACTTCGGCCATGTTTTTGCTCAGGCCGAGTCCGGGAGATCCGGCAGATCTTGAGTGGAAGCCACTTGGCTCTTGCCAGATTGTGAGATTGTGAGCCATCGTCACGCACCCATAGGCTACGTGCCTGCCTGGGAGATCAGTGAAGGTGGCGTGCAATGGAAGGCCGATTTCGCGTTCGAGTTGCGGAGAAAAACTTATTGGCGCGGCATGAGGCGTGCAGCTTCCACGATGCCATCAAGATTGAGCTGCACTCCAAGTTGAGCATTTCGAACATTTCCGCATCCTTCCGCAAAAACAGGAGAACACATGCGCTGCGCTGCGTCGCGCTGAGGGAGGCGTACCTCGCCACGCCTTTGACCGCTATTCTGACTCTCAGTATCTTGACAGACGTACGTGGTCCTAAGTTGTTGCCTTGACTATCCGTATCGTTCCGTTGCGTTGCCAAGATGGAGTGGAGCACGTTTTCGACTTCAAGGTCATGACTTGCGCGAGCACTGAGATGCTCATTTGCAATGAGCTTCTCTGATCTTCTCAAAGATTTCTGCAAAGGCTTTTGCTTGAACCCCCGTGATCGTGCATAACAGACGTTGACAAAGCATCCGGCCAAGGTCGGGCGAGTACCGAAGCATTCGTCGCCTTGCAAGTTCTGGAGTTTGAGGGTCTTTTTCCGGAGAATGCCCGCGCGGCCAAAGCTCCGCCGGAAAGGCAACAGCTCCGCCCGTACGGGAGAGCTGGAAGTGGCCGGCTGGGCCGGAAGGAGATCTGAAGTGCAGAAAACGAGATCCATTAGCATCTCAAGTCCGGTAGTTCTTTTGGAAGACTAGGGTTGCCTTTCTCAGGGTTGACAGGAGTTTGCCTTGGTTGCATTGCGTGTTTGCACGCAAGAAAAATCAGCGTGGCCTAAAGGCACCATCTCCCCCCGTTCCGCGCCGAGTGCATTGGGGAGCCTTGAGGCCGAAGGCCACGAGACAACGCCATCTCCAGGCTCAGCGCAACTCAGAAATGCCGTTGATCAGTCGGGCGCGGGGGCGCGGGGACGGGGCAAACCGCAACCGCCGCACGGCGTGTGAAGGTCTCCTAGAAGAAGATCTCGAAGGAGCCGGTCGCGATCGCGCTCCTGCAAGTCCCGCAAGTCTCCCGTGGCGAAGCTCAAGTCCCGCGAGGCCGGGAGATGGGAGAGATGAAGGAGAGATGAAGGAGAGATGAAGGAGAGATGAAGGAGAGATGAAGGAGAGATGAAGGAGAGATGAAGGAGAGATGAAGGAGAGATGAAGGAGAGATGAAGGAGAGATGAAGGAGAGATGAAGGAGTCAGGGGGAGGTCCAGAAAAAATCCGAGGCTGCGGAGAAGGCTGAGAAGGCCGAGAAAGTGGAGAAGGTGGAGAAGGTGGAGAAGGTGGAGAAAGCCGAGAAGGAAAGGACGGAGAAGCTGAGGTCCGCGTCTGGTCCTCCTGAGCCTTGGCTTGAAACGAGCGCATGGAGTCAGCCTGTACGTCAGCGCCAAGCGTCGCCAAGGCCAGGGTTCTTGAACCAGGTGAGGCAGCAGCGGACCCGGCTTGGAATGGCTCGGAAAGGAAGGAAAGTCGAAAAGGAGAAATGGAGTTCGAAAGTTGAAATGGAGTCGTTTCAAATGCGGATGAGGTGGAGGACACCAATGTGGCAATCGTGGGGCACCAAGCCTCCAAGGCTCCAAGCACCCAAGCTGAGTCTGGATTCTCCGTGCGAGGTGCGAACTGGTGGTCCCATGAACACGGGCGACCTGACCTACCAAGCGGAGATTATGGTTCCACAGGACCCGCAAAGCTGACAGCAAGAGAGCCACAATGTGAACGCCAGGGGGGCGAGAACCATTCTGGGCGGCCACGCCTGGCACCTGACCGGTGGTTTGCGCTTTGAACGCTTGCCGAAGACGTGTTTTCTCTGAGGCGTGATGTGCATTCGCGGGCCATCCAGACCTTCGAAGCTCGGCATTGCGGTTGGACGGTTCCGGGGCCCGGGGGGCAACGTGCTAGGCATGGTTGCACCCGCCAAATTGATTTATAGAGCGTGTTTCGCGTTGCTTACTTTTAACCGCTGTGCCCGCCGCACGTGGCGCCGCCCGCCGCCTGCCGCACCTGCCACACCCGCCACACCAGCCGCCCGCCCGCCGGCTCGCTCACTCACTCACTCACCAACCCACCCACCCACCCACCCACCCACTCACTCACTCACTCGCTCACTCACTCACTCACTCACTCACTCACTCACTCACCCTCATTCACTCACTCACTCACTCACTCACTCACTCTCTCTCTCTCTCACTCTCACACTCACACTCACACTCACACTCTCTCTCACACACACAGACTCACTCACTCTCACTCACTCTCGCTCACCCGCCCGCCCGCCCGCCCACCCACCCACCTACTCAACCCACCCACCCACTCACTCACTCACTCACTCACTCACTCACTCACTCACTCACTCACTCACTCACTCACTCACTCACTCACTCTCTCACCAACCCACCCACCCACCCACTCACGCACTCACGCTCGCACGCACTCACTCACTCACTCACTCACTCCTCACTCACTCACTCACTCACTCACTCACTCACTCACTCACTCACTCACTCACTCACTCACTCACTCACTCACTCACTCACTCACTCACTCACTCACTCACTCACTCACTCACTCACTCACTCACTCACTCACTCACTCACTCACTCACTCACTCACTCACTCACTCACTCACTCACTCACTCACTCACTCACTCACTCACTCACTCACTCACTCACTCACTCACTCACTCACTCACTCACTCACTCACTCACTCACTCACTCACTCACTCACTCACTCACTCACTCACTCACTCACTCACTCACTCACTCACTCACTCACTCACTCACTCACTCACTCACTCACTCACTCACTCACTCACTCACTCACTCAACTCACTCACTCACTCACTCACTCAACTCACTCACTCACTCACTCACTCACTCACTCACTCACTCACTCACTCACTCACTCACTCACTCACTCACTCACTCACTCACTCACTCACTTACTCACACTCACTCACCCATTCATTCATTCATTTACTAGTCAATTATCACGATGACATTTATGGCCCAGAGGTACAACAAGTTGCATGGTGTACAAACACGTCAAAGACACAGATGACATGCCCGCATGTCATTTGGCTCAAGTGCTGAAAAGAGCGCGTTGCACGCGCTGCCCACAAGGTTAGGGGAGAGGTCGCAGTCACGGCGGGGTTCGTTCCTTTTAAGGTCCCGGGTTCCCCCGTTGTTGTGAAAACTGTGTTTCCCTCTCCTTTGAGTGGTTCTCAGCCGTAACGCTTTTCGGGTAAACAAACCCTTCCGTGACTGCGACCTTTTGGTCGCACATGGAAGTCGGCCCTCACCGCGGCTCTCGCGGTGGGAAAGGGCCGCGTGCCCGTTTGTACAACACCCTGCAACAGATCGTCGTAGACGAGTACAAGAGACAGGACAGACGCTTCTGGTGGATCAGGTTTGCAGACGCTTCGAAACAACAGATTGAGGCCCTCTTTTCCTGGCGTGAGACATTGGATAGTTGGCACCTGTGGGGATTCGACCAAGAAGCCTTTGAGGTAATCCAGGCCGCGGACAACGCTTATCAGCAACGTTTGCATCGGTTGAAACCACAGGTGTGGTCTTGTCACAAGGTGTGCAGTCGCAGGATAAAGCCGCAGCCTCTGGCGCGGCGGAAGCAACAAGCAGTGCAGCGGATTGGTTGCGACCTCCTACGCCTCCTTCTGCTTCATCCTGGCTACAAGACTCACGCACTCCATTGCCTCGTCTCCGACCATCTGCAGAGGAAAGACAAGTGTTGCGAGGTGCCGCCAAGACAGCACTTCGTGGGGCCGTCGTGGGGTATACGCTAGAGCTGCGGAAACACGGCGGGAAAGCAGCAGGGAACGGTCGTCACAAAGATCGAGGTCCCCATCGTCTCCGAGACAAGGACCGACTGCTGCTACCCCTGTGGAACATCGGGCACACAGTGTTGAACCCGCGCTTGCGCGGGAGGGTAGACCATCCCGGACTTCCCTTGCTACACGGCCCATTGTTTTGGCTCCACAGAACAGTATATACCCCGTGACACGATTTGACGAGCACGGCACTTGGGTACTCGTTCGGGAGGCTTCACAGCCACGTGAGGCGACATCTCACCGCCGAGCACAGCGGACATCCCGACATCTCCGTCAGGCTGACCCGTACACGCTTGCGGACGAGACGTGGAGAGATCCCCCAAGAAGATCATCCACAAGTTCGCGATCACGATCTCCAGATCGACGCCCAGGACCAGCGGAGCATCATCGCCTCGACGCCTATAGTTCAGAGGAGGAGCCCACGCAAAACGCGGAAGCCCTTACAATTGGCAGGGCGGCTTACGTGCCTCGGCGCGTATACGAGGCACCGACACACACTGAGCCCATCGCTTTGCATAGCAGGAGGATTGGAACGACACACAGCAGCCGCCCGCAAAGGCCGCGCCAAAAGTCATTTTTGGCAGCAAGCCTCCATTGCCCAAGGAACTTCCTCGTGCAGCTTCTTCGGTACCGGCAAAAGCACCTCCTCGAGCAAGGTCTCCTATTCGGACTCAGAGTGCATTCGGGTACAAGGCGCCTCCGCGAGGTCTGAACAAGGCCGAACCCAGAAGCAAGTCAGGCTCAAACCCACCACAAGGGTACATTGTCAAGCCGCCGCCGCCGCAGGTCGTTAAAGCAGCTGCCACAAGCGCTGCAACTTCCGAGGCCGGCATACGCTTTCGATCGCCACCAAGAAGGCCGCCGCCAGTGCCAACGGGGTACTGGACGTCGGTCAGCAAGGCCCCCACCTCAACCCGGAGGTCATCCAGCATCTTGTTAAATTCACTGCTGACTACGCACCGATCAACCTGATCGTGCTGTCATTCGTTGGCCGAGCAGCTAGTGATTTTCGACGCTGCGAGTTCCAGGTCGCCCTGGAGCACGCGAAGGCGACAGCTGGACTCACTTTCTCCACGATCAAGATCGTGCACGAGAGGCTGGGCCGGGGTGGGAAGGCGGACGCGCTCTTGGGGTTGGGAGCCCACGTTCTCGTGGACGACCAATCTGCAATCGCCCGCGAGGCGCAGAAGACTGGCGTTGCAGCGTTCCGCAACTTCCCCCATTTTGGGCCGAACGGATTTGCCACAGCTCTTGAAAACGTTGGGGAATACATCGAGTCCCGGAATCGATATTTCATTCCGGCGGCAAGGGGCCTGCACCCTTCGCAGTATCTCGAGGAGCTCCATCGGTCTGCATCCCAACTGCCCGGCAATCGGGTCCTTCGATAGCCTCTCTTTGCAAGCCGTTAAAACCGTCGCTTTGCGCGGTACAGCATCTTTGCATTCGATTTGCAGATTTTTCATCAGCAGCTTGGCAACATCCTTCGATAAAGCACCAGAGTGCGAGATTGCGGATCAATCAATCTACAAGTACAATTACAAGTGCAGAATTCATCAGGTGCAAAGCAGCAGGGCGACTTTTCTTGAGTGGCTCACTTGAGCGTTTCGCAACCAGCTGCCAATCCAGGGATATCTCCTCGTAGCACCTTTGACACGCTGCTCAAAGCGCGTGGAGCTGGCTTCGTGTGAGTGCAAAATTGCATTGCTGTGTCATGGCTTCAACGGGCTTATCCCCGCCCTCGGAACCCCGTTCAAGGTCGACCCCAAATAGGGATTCTGAACCGGATGACCCTGACTTAGCCATGGTTCCTGCAGCTATGTCCACAATTCGCACATCCACACCTCAACGAGCAGCCCAAACACGACCATCATCACCCCAAGTGGTCCGATCGTGTCAGAACCTACATCATCCGAAGCTTCCCCAAAAATACAGTTTCCTTCTCAGGGCTCACAAATGCCCGACCCGATGACTAACGTACCGGCTGCGGCCTTTAATAATTATTGCTGGAGCTGCGGTGCAGCAAGCTCATCGAGCATCCGACCTCGCTGCTCAGGCAGCCAATCACGCCTTGCACCAACAGCAAGCCGCCGACCAGGCGAGACAAGAGGCCGGATGGATCAGGGAAAGGGCTGTAAGAGAAGTATCAGATGTTAGGGTTCAAGCCGCTCAGCTAGCTTCGCAAGCCCAGCAGGCTGTACAAACAGCACAACAGAGTGAGGCTCAGGCTAGGCAACTAATCGAGCAGACCCGACAGGAAGCCATCGGCCATGTCGAGAACGCACGGCAGGTTGTTAATGCCACTCAACAGGACGCTCAGCAGGAGGTTCAACGCATTGTTCAAGAGGCTCAACAGGCAATCTTGCAAAGGGAACAAACCATTGCCAGTCAAGAGCATACCATTCGTGGATTGTCCCAGGAAAATTCTGTGATGCATCAACGACTTGGTGATCTCGAACGTGTTGTTGCGCGCCTCACCCAACAAGCTCGTGCGACCCCTGTTCCGATTCAAGAGTCCCCGCCAAAAGCCGCATCAACAGCCGAAACAGCTACGGTGTCAAGCGCGGCTAAAGCCGCAAGTCAGGGCACAGTTCCTCCAGGAACCCATCAGCCGGTTGGAGCACCTCAGGTTTCAGATTCACAAGATGCCTCCGGTGTTGCCGCATCGTCGCAAGGGAATGCTTTCTCGGGTATTATCCCCGACCCTCCGTGTGGTTCTGTTCAAAGTTCAGGACTTGGTCACGATGCCCCAGCTGATTCAAGGGACCCGGGCGGAATTGCTACAAGTCAACATCTCGTGGGCCATTCGGCAGTGCTAGGAGCAGCGTCCTCTGTTGGAGACGCAGCCCCCGGCGCGTCGAGGACTAGCGGGTTGGATAGAGACGGTACAAGGGATCAAGCCGATGTGTGAGAGTGCAAGTGACGGCTTTAGCGGAAATGGTTCAGCAGCTTTCCCAATTGGTTGCTAATCAAGTGGCTCCGCCACCTCCGCCTCCGGCCGCA